CTATGATGTATTCCTTCGGAGGTTGAGAAGATAAAAATCTTGCTAATGTGGTAAATGCATCACTAGGCTGACGACTATTTTTGCTTGCTCATTTAGACACATCATTCACCTTTTAACTGGCTTTGAATGCCTTGCTACAAAGGCTGCTCACTGCCGTGTCAGAGGAGCCATTCTCTTGGCAGATAGGAAGGGGGGATTGGTTCATCCTTACTCCCCCTGTCTGCTTTAGAACCTGAGTCCTCTTTGCAAATTGGTATCTGGATTGCCCTTTGGCTACCACACCTCTGGAGTGAGGATAGTGTGAGGACCCACCACAGCCTCACAGATCTCTCAGTGCTTTGAATTTCAACCTGCATTTCAGGGGTTCTGAGAAACACGCCCATGTTGGGGAGTTTGGAGACTCCTGGCATTCTTCATACACTTTTGCATAAACTGGGTAAGTAGGTTTTCCTCCAGATGGCAAAATGTCGTTTTCACCAGTTTTTGGAAACACACTAAATAAACATTTTCAGAAAAGTAACGGTGACCTTCTGAGAACAGGGCAGTTAGAGTGGGGAGCAGAGGAAAGAGACTGCAGTGAAAAGTAGCATGGAGGCTACAACCCAAGATTCCCCTTGCCTTTCCCAGCATTCCTTGGGTCCAGTATAGCATGCAGATCTTTAGTCTTTAATTCGGGATCTGCCTCGGCTGAATCAGCAGCCTTTGACATGCCTGCTCACCTGCTGTGGTGGGGTAAGAAGTGCTTTACCTAAGGAATTTAGTGGAGCTAGAGATTTCTGCTCCGTCATGCAGCTTCAGACACTGGCCAACTTTGAGCTGCTAAATTACTGTCTTTAGTTCTAGAAGAAAAGTGCTAAGGTTTTGGAGTTGAGGGTCTCTAGAGACATCGTGCACCTCTGGGGCATCTGTGGAGTAGCCCTGTGATCACAGAGAACAAACAAAACCCTCAAGGCTCTCCTCCCAAGCATCAGACTAGAGAGAGACAAATCACTTGAGTGAGGCAAGCTTCCAATGTTGAAGGTTTAAATGCCTGGATTGCTTGGGGACCAAAGAATCTGGGCTAAGCTGTGTTGTTAACACCGGGTGTGAGGTATCAGGGTAAGCAAATGTGTATGGACTTCCATAGGCAATTGGAAGCAGAGTCAGGAAGCACTTGACTCTGGTCCAGGGGGAGATAATCAAATAGGACACCATAGGCTGTGGCTGTCAGGTGACTCAGGAAACACCAGCCTCACTTTGCTGTTGCTGATTTTGTTGTTTTGCTTTCTGTCTCTAACTCTCTCTCAGACTGTGACCCAGGAGAGACTTGGTTACTCCTGGAGGTGCTGCAGGAATATGGGTCCCAAACAGACTTGGTTGTGAGGTGACGTCAGCATGGGAGAAGGAAAAGGTACGGGCAGGAGTCAGTAGCCTTCAGCTGCTGGGTGATGTTGGCCAGCCACTGCCTTCCTACATTGTTCTGTCTCTTTCTTATGGCAAAAGAGGGGTATGGGAACATTGAACTGGATGACCTGTAGGGTTCCTGTATGATAGTCTTCCTCTGCCATTCATTCTCTTACATATTCTAGCTGCTGTTTATCAAGCTGGTTTGTGACATCGTGGGCTTACTTGAAGGACAGATCATCGTAGGCTCCCACATCCCCCAGGAGCTATGAGGAATGAGGTTTAGTTCCCAGACTCACCAGCAGGAATATGGACATCTCTTGCTGTAGCGACAGCAGTAAAATTGCCACTCTCGGTCCAGCACTGATTCGAAGTAGCGGCTCTGGAAGCCGGCCACCAGTCCATTGTTGGAGCAAGTCTGGTACCTGAAGAGAAGAGAGCGTCAGGGCACTGATAGATGCAGACCCCTTCCTCAGACCCCCCTGACACAGTCACACACCCTCTCACTGGTCCACATCCCTGCAGGTTATTCCATTTGATGCAAAGGATAGATGTTGCATGGTAGAAATTACATGCTCACCGTTAAAGCTCAAATGAGTGAGCACATTTCCGTGGAAGGATGTTTGGGAGACCCTGATCCTGATGTCTCTCCATAAATGTATGGTTAGATGAAAGGATATTTATGAATTTTACAATTGAGGATGCTATAAGTCATTTTACTTGAATTTAAACTAGAAGGCTGACAAAGAGCTATGATGAGTTTTTGAACTTCAATTAAACATTTCACTGTCCTTCCTACAACAGCACACAGTGTAGATAGATCCAGGGACTGTCCAGGGGGAACATAATTGGATGTCTAGGATCATAGTTAGCATTCTCTCTGTATATCCAGAAATCTTCCTACCACCTCCAAAGTGGGTCTCTGAATTCCACCCCTCGGACCTATAGATAGGCCAGGGACATGGAAAAACTCCCCACAGAAAATCCACAGACCAAATGAGTTCAAACTCCCTCCAAGGGCTCCTTCCCTGTCCTATCAGTCCTGATTCCTCCATTGCGGCGAGTCCTCCACTCTTGGTCTTTAGTTGGAGGGAAGTTTCACTTTCATCTGCCTGTGTTCCTGTCTTGGAACCCACCCTTTCATCTTTAAGGCATCCCCCTAAGTGAGGAACAGTGTAGTGTGGCTCTACCTCCTTTGTTCCATCTCTGGACCTCTTCCCACCCTTTCTCCTCATCACACACTGCCTGAAGGTTTGGCACTTTCTGCTGGGATGGTGAGCGTGTTTTCTTCCTGGCTGCAGAGCTTCCTCACCTTATGCAGAACATGATCGTTTGTAAGTTTCCCCATGCTGTTTTCTGTTGTTATAACTGATGAACAGAGGAAGAGTGTTGTTTTGTTTAGTTCATGGTTCTGAGGGTGGGAAAGTCCTAGAGCATGGTGTTGGCATCTGGTGAGGACCTGTTTACCGCACCATAGCATGGTGAAGGTCATCACAGGTCAAGACAGAGCAAGGTGCCAGTTTGGCTCTTTCTTCCCCTGCTTATGGAACAACTAATTCCATCATGGGATTCTTATCTATTTCCTATTACCTTTCAAAGGACATGCTTCCAAATGTCATCCACACATGAATTCAGGGATTAAGCTTACAATATATGAACTTTAGAGAACATATTCAAACCACAATACATTCAGCTATTTCTGTGTCCTTCAGTTTCCTAGATACCTGGATCATCAATCTATCACCTGTCATGTGAAATAGGAGGCAGTGGCCGATGGTACGTAGTCTGGAGCCTAGCAGATTAACCTTGAAAAGGGGGTAAGGAGTTCCCTGTCCTGACTACTGAGTGAGACCTTGTTGGGGCATCTAAGTGTCATTTTCTCCTTATTGATGGAAATTAACTCATCCATCTGTCCTTTTCATTCATTTATCATTGATGTGTGCATTCATGCACATGTATATTTAAATACACATTTTAATCCATTCAACAACTTATTCTTTATTACTGTTCTGTTTCAACTCTGTACAATTTGATGAGAAAGGAATTGATAGGTGGGCGGGATGTTTGTTCAATCGTGTTCTCAAGAGTGGCAAGAAGTTCAGAGTAGAGAACTCAGCTGTATGAGATCAATAATGAAATCCAATATATAAATTGAAACTGATGGCTTTTGATTATCAAGCCTTTTTTACCTCAAGATTATTGCCACTTTGGCCTTTCATATTTAACATGGACTACTACTGTCATAGTATGATGGAAAAGTAATGCTGTGTGTCTTCTAGGTGGGTCTAACCATCTTAGTTCCACATCAGTATGGTTATGAGGAAACCAGTATAAGCTCTAAGAGTCATGGGCAAACCCCAAGGCCTTCAAAGGGAGAAGGCACAGCACACTGGTGCTCTATGTGACTTCCTGTTTTGTCGTCATTAAGCAACCGCCTTCCTCCAAAGCAGAGCCTTTTACTCCCCATCTGGGGTGTGGTTTTATCCACCATTGTGTTTTGTGTACTCAGATTCCTACAAGGAAAAGAGTTCCTACAGTGGTAGGTTCCCTTAAAGAAAATGAGTGTAGGGAGATAGGCCGACCGGTCTCAGGAAGGCCCAGTTCTGAAGGCAATCCACGTCTCCCAAGTTCTCCTCTGGCCCTCTGCTGACAGCCAGCCCCATGGCCTTGTGAGAAGAGTGCTGTCACTTTCCCATGCTACCTCGGATCACGCTTCCCTGTGAAGAGTAGTCACACCCTACATGCTTCCAGCCCCCAGAACATTTGGAGAAAGGTCACCAAATAACGGCGCTCCTCCCCAGCTTCAGCTAGATTGCCTTCAGAGTTTGGTAGTGCAAGCCTATTGAGAGTTTGGTGGTGTGGAATTGTTCCTTCCAGAACTGGACCTTAGTTGGGGTGTATATTCACAATGTGAAGATGGGCATGACAGAGTGATTATGATCATAGGCGATGCTTCTGGACTAGTGTTCCATTGGTAGCTGAGTCATCTAGATCAGTTGTCAAGCCGTCTAATGACCTAGATTTTCCCTCTGTAAAGTGAGCATAATAAATGCTTATACTTGTATTCCTCTGAAAACCAAATAAGACAATGCATAGAAAATTCTGAGGATGCTGGTGTTTGGATGCTTATAAATCATTTACTATTGCTATTCTTTGATGTCGTCTACACAGCAAGCAGGAATCTACTTTGTGAGAGCAGCTCCCTTGTTGAATGTCCATAAAGCATCATACACATTTTCTGAGCTGTTGTGCCCCTAGGATGAAGCTCACTGAGACTGGAAGCTTTGGTCACTCTGTACAGAGATGTCCTATTATCTCTTATCACCCAAGTAGATAATGCAGTCCTTGTGGGAAAAGGTCATTTAATCTTTATTTTGTATTCCTCGTAATGCCCGAGGCTTGTCCAGTAAATGTTTGATAGTAGAATGAATGAACACATGACCGACCTGCTGTCTCCTGATATCACAGGCAGACTTAACTCCTAAGGGGGTTATCATGTGAGTCTTTGAAAGGCTCTGGAACTCCCTCTAACTTGTTCCTGTGGAAACTAGAGCAATGGTTCATTTTCCTGTTTTTATCTCGGTTCAGGAGCAGCCTTGTTGGAGGATGAAGGTACAAAACGAGTATCATCTTGTGCAATTCTCTCCTGCACTGTTTACACTCTCAGTCACCTTTTCAATCGCTTCTCGTAAAACAAAAACTCCTGTGAGCATCGGGCACAGCTGCAGAATTGCAGGCCCAGGCACAAGGCTGGTGAGAAGAGGTGAAGGCAACTGACAAGGCTGAGGGAGGGATCTGGAAGCTTCTGGATTGTTCAACCTATTCCAACTCAACCAAGAAAAGGAAACAGTGGTACAATGACACAGCGAGCCTCTGGTGCTCTTCACAGCACAGGCTTCTCGCCTTTGAATGGTCTGCAGAACAGAGCGTCTGCTCCAAGGCTCTAGCTTTCTGCTAAGTTGTGGCGTGGCATTGACCCCAAGTCCTCAGCAGACTCCAAGGAAACATTCCCCTGGCACATGAGGGCCTGATGCCCTGCTACAGAGACTCTCCTCCCACTCTTTTCCATTGTCTCTTTGAGAATCCAGTTCAGCTTCAAAAACAAGAGTAATATCAGTTCTGCTCTGCCTAAGACTGGGAGTTTTCTGGAAGGGAAGCCATAAGGCTATGACTCTTTCTGTGACAATAACATTTACAGGTGTGTTTGGAGGAAAATGGCCTTTCTGGAAATGATTTATCTCAAGGCCATCACCCTAGCAGCAGAGAAAAAGTTCCCTTGTGTCTACAAGGGTAACACAGAAATAACGGGGACATGGGGGAACCTGTCCTGAGGAATCTACAAGTGGGAAGTCTCTTCCCCGCCTTGACCTGAGCATGCTCTTTAGAACCTCATTACATCACAGTGAGGACACAGCCAAGTGGTGCCTGAAGGAACACAGCCAAGCTAGTAACCAACTGAAAAGGACCTACATCTTGGGCCTGTTTTATACCGAAACTTTCAGGCATGCTCCCTTCCAGGAAGTACAAAACAAACAAACACAGAAGTTACATCGTCTGTTCCTGTCAGCGCCTCAGCTGGACTTCCTGTTTTTATATGTGAGCTTCATCCATTCTGGGATGGTCAGAGAGGAAGAAGAGCTGGAGTCAGAGGTGGGAAGGGGGAGGAGGAAGCGGGGAGGGAGAGCACAGCTTTTCGGTTCTTCCCTTAGCTTTTCAGATGCTCTGTGGAGTTTTAGTTTTCTTCCTCCGATCTCTGCCTAGCCCCTGTCCAAATGTGTAGAAAACCCGAGATCCCAGGGAATTAAAGATAGGATTGAGCTGGACATAGAAGGGGAGGCCACAGTACCATGTCGGTCAGTGGTGCTCACACAGCTTTTAAATCGATTAGTCTGGTTGTGTCGGTCTCATCCCACTTCATCAACACACACATATTTTAAAGGCTGTTAGCGGTCTCCAGCCTCATGGTTGGGAGGGACTAAGAACAGTAGACACAGTGGCCAACTCCCTGCACTGTAGGAACCATGTGATGCAGCCTTCTCAACTTTTCCAAATTTCTTTCCAATCCTTAAAGTGGATAATTATAACATAGACGCAAGCTTTAGATTTTAATTCTGTTTTTCCTGGAATAATTCTTTGGTTACCATTAGCCGTTTAAAACACAGTCCACAGAATTTTCAATCTTTCAAAAAGTAGTCATTAAAGTCTGCTCTGTGCACAGTCTGGTCTCCTTCTTAGGGTGCTGGTATTGACAGACAGATGCTCTGATGGTGGAGACAGTGTGAACAGGAAACAGAGTGGGACCAAGGACAGAAGAGCAGAAAAAGGGGAGACTAAGCAGGGTGGCAAGGTCATGACCTGGGAAAGTAATGTCAAGGCCACGGGTAGGGATAAAACTTAGGGGGCTGGAGAGATGGCTCTGCAGTTAAGAGCACTGACAGCTCTTCCAGAGGAGCTGGGTTCAATTCCCAGAACCCACATGGCAGCTCACACCCATTGGCCACTTCATACATGCAGGCAAAATGCCCATCAATGCACATAAAAAATAAAAGTAAATAAATTATTTAAAAACTTAGGTGGAGGATAAGACTGATTAATTTAAAAAAAACTTTGACTTTCTGGATTCTCTTAACTTACAATCCTTGGGGCCTCCTTGAGGAATAATTAGAGCTGAATTCCCTCAAGGAGACATGCAACCAGCCTCAGAGAGTGGATACGAGAGAGTAAGAGTCAGTTTGATCCTCCATTCCCTAGTAAGTCTTACACTTCTAATTCAGATGGATGCTTTCCTTCTTTGTGATGTATTGATGCAACCATCACACATTTCATTTAAAATAGTCTTCATCCAGCTGCTTCTCGGTGTAACACTGCAAGATTTTTGAAGGTAAATAGACCCTATCATCCTGCTGTGATGATGCAGACATGGTCTTTTAAAATAATGCCTAGCTGTATATATGTATATATGGCTTCTTCCTACTGCTCCTGGATATGAGTTCTGCTGTCTGACTCCATGTTTTAGGCTTGCAAGACTGTCTACTGGGTAGTAAGCAAAAATGACCTGTCAGACGGAAAGACCCATTATAGAGTAGGAGTCAGTAGAGACTACTCAAAGGGCCTCTGAAGAGACCCAGCTTATTTCATGAGATGTCCTTCTATCCTGAAATTTTTATGCAAGGGCAACAAACGGAATTGACTGTGGGGGCTCATGACCATCAGTTATTAGAATACTTTTTAGCCTGTTGGTCTAATGCCACCTCAATATCTATTAAACTGTGGTGAGTACTCAAGGTGCTTAAAGTTGTACATTTACTGTTCATAGAGTCTAACTGAAGTATACACTTCAAAAGGCCAGGTGTCCTGCCACTCCAGATTCGTAACTTTCCAATTGTGTGTGATTTGTCTCGGTGAGCCTCAGTTTCCACTGAATATTCCCAATACTGTTGTGGATACCAAATAAGATTGGACTGTGAGTAACTCAAGGACACAGATTTGTGTTATTAATCTTCATATTCTCACAGCCTAGCAAATTTTATAATAACAGCCACTGAGTGGGCAAATGAATGTGCAAATGGCAAAGGCTATAAGCACCAACAGAACATGAATTAGGGCACGGGCCATCCAACTTTTACTGAGTTTGATGATTTCATTGACTTTTCAGTTGCTTGATCCTGAGCTTTCATTTCTAACCATGGTGTAAGAAGATGGCTCTACATTCTTCCCAAGTCTCTTTCCAGTCTTGGGGTTCTTGGATACTGTTACATTCTGTTTGCATTTGAATTTCCCACTAAGCAAGTAGCCAGCCTGAATTATTATTTTTCAACTTTTCACTTTGAATTACTTTTAGATTTAAAGATGACATAAGATTCACATCTGTCCTTCACCCAGCTTCTCCATTGCTACCTCTAATAACCCTAAATTCTAGAAATTATTATGGTTTCATCAGTTTTCCCATTAACGTCCTTTTATTGGCCTAAGATTCAAGCCATGATATTATGTAACATTTAGTTCTTATGCCTTTGAAACAAAGAGTTTACTATGAACTCTTTTAGTTTACTGAAACAAAATTATGGGAGAATATAAATCTAACAATGAGTTCATCTTGTGGTAACAATGTGTGTCAACAATGCTCCATACATGTTTTAGAGATTCTTGGGGAACCATAAAAGACCACCCTGCATGTTGGTGGATACAGTAAGCCAAGATGAAATGCTGGGCACAGTCTTACAAATTTAGAAATACCAGAAATCAAGACTTAAGCAAAATAGTTTTCCCCAGGGGAAAATCTTCATTGAGGGTGGTGGAGATGCTGTCTGGGATTCAGGCTGTGTTAAGCACCAACTAGACTGATTTGGTCTTTTGGTATATATTTATTGGGGGCCTGCTATGTGCTAGCATTATTCTAGGCACTAGGAACACAGTAGTGAATAAGACAAAGTTCCTAAGTTCACAGAGCTTATATTTAATGAGGGAAACAAATAATAAGGAAGTGCAGATCTAGCAGTGAGTATATTCAGAAAACAGAGCATATTGAGGTATAGAGGTATAGAGGATGAAGGACATTGGGTCAAAGGAAGTGAGCACTGTGCATTTGAAACACTAAGGATCATGAGCTGGGATGATTGCTCTGCACAGCACATTGCAGATTGTGGAAAACAAAGATCCTGGCCAACGTGTCTAGTGTTAGACTTGCATTGATGCTGCCATAGCTCTGTGGGACAGTTGCCCTTTCGTCTCCGTTCTGTTATGTGGATTGTCATTGATTAATTAATTCAAGTATTCAGCTCTAATAAAATAGATGCTTTTAAAATGTCTTTGCAGATTCTCTGAAGCACGGGGAGTAGAAATGGTACGTTATACAGAACATTCTTCCTCCACATACAGACTGCACATAAACCTGGTTTGCCCAAAATAGGTTTCATCAAATTCCATATTCACTAAATTTTTATTGACTACCCTTAAATGCGATGTTAAAATGATAGATGTTTGTCTTAGATGTAGATTTATTTTAGAATTCCCTTCTCCTAGAAGCATCATGCCTTTTATTTCTCCCTCTTCTCTCACTCCCCCTCACTTCCAGAAGGAATTGAATACCTTAAGAGACAATACAGCTGAGAGGCGTGAAGAATCCTAGCTCAGAGACCCTTCCACCATGAGTGTTACAGTTCAGCTTCACACAACTTCCCATTCCATCTTGCTCCACACAAGACTTGTGTATCCCACAGCATATGCTAACCAAAGTCAGAAGAAACCCTGAGAACAGACCTGACAACCCCCCCTGCAAGGGAACCATACTCATAGGGCACTAGGTAAGGCCTCCTGGTCATCTTAGCGGTGGAACAGGCACCCTGCTTTAGGATGCCGTATTCAAAGCAGTGGCTTTCAGTGGGTAGCAGGACTCAGCTCTGAAATGAGCACCCTGTAAAGATGGCTCCCCATTAGCGAGTTTTCTTCAGCAGATCCTGTGTACTGTCGAGTTTCTGTGTGTCCCTCCTGCCTCTTAAAATAAACCTGAAAGCTAATTTACTTACACAAGACAGCCAAATTGCAGAAAAGTCACCACCAACTCCTCCCCAGAGCAGATTAACAGCCTGCAGCCAACCGGGGGTGGGGGTGGGGCGGCATGTAATTGCTCCCCAGCCTGTGAGCAATCTCTTTCCTTCCAAATCTTTCACTGAGACTGGAGTCTGAACACAAAGTCATAATCGTCTAGGAGAAAATGCCTGGGGACTAATTGATACCAGTTCTGGGGCAGCTGGGTCCTGTGGTGAAGAAGCTGTTTCCCACGTTCATGACTCTCTAGCCCTGTGATTGGTGGAGATGGGGAGAAGCAGATAACGGGAGTGTGGAAGGAGGAAAGCAAAGATCTTAGATTCCAAACATCGAAAATGTAGAGGAAGAGGAGGGGAGAGGGGCGTGCCTGTCAGCTTCACACTAGTTCCCCATAGGCAAAAACAAAACAAACAAAATCAGTTTTTCTTCTTTCTTTCCTTCTGTCCTTTCCCTTTCTTTTTTCCTTTTGTTTTTGGGGGGGCTTTTTTTTACCCCTCTTCAAATAGTTTGGGAGTTCATGGCAAAGCAGTTACAAATGGCCCCGTTTCAGAACAACCAGCATTTGGCTTCTCTCCTCAGCTGGGTGCACACAGGGATCAAGGGACTGTAAGCAAGAGCCGAGCACACTCTGAAGCAAGCAGCTGCTTGGGGGAACCTGTTGGGATCGCAAAGTCTGGGGGTTCATCCTCCAAAGGAGGCAGCAGACAGACAGCTGAAGTGGGGGCCGAGGTCACACTGAGTTTTCTCATTAGCACCAGAACCCAAACCCCAGCTCTGACTCAGCCCAGGGCTCTCCCGTGAGCGTTTGAGCAATATTCACTGAGCGCTGTTCTTCTGCGACTCCAACAACGGGGTTAGAAAGAGGGCCCATTACGTGATGGTCCCCTGGGGTGGGTGGATTGGACAGATAGTCGCAACTAGGTCATTTCCACCCTTGAAGCCAGGCAATGAGCCCGGCTGCTAAGGGACACTGGGGTCTGTCCTCAAGACAAACTTGGTCTCTGAGTCATCTATGTGTCTGAAGGGTTTTGGATCATTAAATCTGTTTGGCGGAGACAGAGTGGATGCATGGGGATGGCCTAACAAAGGCTGCTCAGGCAGCCTCTGCAGTTCCTCGGTCTTCACCCGCTTGTGTAATTGCTGTCTCCTCAGGCCGGCAGGCCCTCTCCTCAGGTGACACAAACTGACACCTTCCTCACTGAGGCTGGGCTTCTGCTGGGGACTTGTAGACCTGACCTGCTCCCAGGATGACAAACGGGCTTGAGTGTGGTTCTGGGCCCCAGGCTCTGCTGACGAGAGTTCACCTGAGGTGGAGACAGCAGCCTCTTGGGAGCCCAAGCTATAGCTCATCCTATGTTCTTTAAAGTGGAGACTTCCTGGATCCAAAGCTTGTCTTAATAGCTGCGAGAAACCACCTTATCCCTCGACTGGAGTTTGGCTACCTACAGCATGAGTGACAGGCTTGTTTTAAGCATTAAATGAGATAATTGTATTAAGTGCTTGATGTGATGTATGCTCAAGGAAGCTCTCAATAAATGAGACAGTTTTTAATGATGCCCCCTTCTGTCCAGCTACTTCACTCACCGGTGCCGTTTTCTCCTGGATGGCTGGTAGTGTCACCACTAAGGTTGGCTGTTGACCCCTCCAGCCCCTCACTCCACCAGTGCCTTGCAGGAGTCCCTCCCACAGTGGTCTTGCTCAGGAGATAGCAGAGGTGGCAGCCTTCCAGCTGGGCTACCTCCTCCCTCAGTCGGACTCTCCTAGGGTCAATCTCCACCCTCTCCCCAAGCCCTGAAATGATGGCTCTGTTCAGACGGCTGTGAGTGACTGGTCTAGCCATCATTGGCTATGGAGACTGGCTTCCGACTAAATACCGGGGCTGGGACAGTCACACAGAGAAGCACAAGCTGGGACCAGTTCTTCTCCATTGACTAGGGCAAAGGGCAGACGGCAGGAGAGCACCTCTAAAAACCTTTGGTGAACTATATCCTGGCAACAGAGGCTACTTTAAATCACAGGAGAGGGGAAGAGAAAGGGAGCAGAGGAGAGAGACACACAGAAAAATCTTAGTACTAAAAATTGACAGCTTCTGTTTCCTCCAAACAGGAGAGCGCTATTGGACTTCAAGCCTCTTTGCTTCCATTTCTCAGTCCCTTTTACCCAATCACTTGCTCTGAATCAGTCATTTTCAGACTACTGGTGCTGAGGACCCAACTGTTTATTTTCTTCAGACTTCCGGAATAACGTTTTTGGAAAACAGTAAATCATTACAAAATGAAAACATCATTCCAACATCACAGCAATGATCACTTTAAGTTCCATTAGAAATTTCAAGTTTTTGCAGATTGATAAACATTCTACAGACACACACCCAGCCTGTAGTTCCCACTAAGCCGAGAGACGGCCTTTGAAGAAGTAGAACCACATAGAAGTCCATCTTCCATGGGCATAGCCTGTCCTGGTTTTCACCTTACCATGTCATCTGCATAGCAGCAGCCCTGCCCATGAAAGCATGCAATAATAGTAAGTTTAGAATATGCCCAGGCTAAGAGCAATGCTAGTCCTTGAGGACAAACTTCCCCCTGTAGGACATGAACTGATGTTCCCATCCCAAGTGCACCGACTGTTCCTTACCATTCCATGCCAGCCCTATTGATTTCTTCCCACCAGCATTCTGTGGGCTCCCCAAGGCTTTGGGGTGTGGGCATGCAGGCATAGTTCCATTGTCTGTCAGAGCCTTCCTTCTTGCTAAAGATGCTCCTCACGGCTACCACCACTTGCCCATGGGGACACTGGTAGCTGAAGCCTTGCCGGTTCAGATTCACCCAGCCATCATCACTGTAGTCGTGGTACTGCTGATATGGGTACCCGTAGTCCCCGTACTGGCCCCAGGCTGTGGTTACCAGTGGCAGAAGTACCCACAGAAGAGTGAGGTCCATACTGCCTGGCTTTTGGCAAAAAAAATGTCACCCTAAGCTTTCAGGGCTGACTTTTATACAGCTGCCGCTGACATGTGGCTTCCAGATGTGGGCGAACTGGATCCAACTGCAGTGTGTCATTGCTCAAGCAAAAGCTTTTCCGCACTGAGAAATTGGCCCTGCCTTCGTCCAGCTTGTTTTAAGGTGGAATTCTAGGAATATGCTAGGAACATGTAAATCAAGGAAACTCTCTGGAGAATCACTTCATGGAGAGGATCCGGGCCAGCTGCTCCAGCCTTCAGAGAAACACCTAAGAAAGACATCTCGGCCAGTGGATCCTTCATCTCCCTACATCCCATCCCTCTGCCCCACTGCCCTCCCCACTAGCAAACCCTGTATCCAATCTCCAGCTTAGCCTTCTAGAATCACACAAATATCAAGGCAGTGATTTCAAAATATAAGTCAGTCAAACCAGTAAGTTAAAGGGATGCAGCCATGTAGATTCCCGCAAACCTAGTTGCCTGTTTCCTTCATGTTTTTCGATGAACATCTTTGAATTTGGGATAGAAGCGATTGTATCAGTTTTTAGATCTATCAGTAGAAGCCCTAACTTGCCAGCAGAAGTCAGAGAGAAGCTGGACATTGTCTCTGTACTTAAGCATCTGCCTGAGCTGCTGGAATCGATCCCTTCAGCTCTAGAATTTGTGCACTGCTCTTCAATACTTAACATAATGGGTTAAAATCAAGTAACATAATACATAATGGGTTAAATTCTAATGAATCTTCCTTTTTACCTGTTGGTACTTTTTACTTTATGTTGACTTTTCATTGATGTACAGTGTATGAAACAAAGGTCAGCTTTTCAACCGTGTAGTGCACAGTCCCGAAGTCAGCACTGAAATCAAGCTATAGACAGACGGGATGACAGAGCATCTCCTTATAGCCCTCTGCATTCACATCTTTCCCAACACCTAATTCTGGTACCCAACAACCTGTTTTCTTTCTCTAGTTTTACCTGTTTGAGATTGACAAATAAATGGAGTTATACTGTGGTCGCTCTTTCCGTTACCCCTGCTTTTGAGACTCACCTGCACGGTGTCAGTAGTTCACCCCCTTTTACTGCTGAGAAGGATTCCACAGTATGCATGTCCCATATAAATGTACTATTCGAAGCATGGATGGGTTATTTCAAGTATGTAAAAATTGTGTATAATTATGTATAAGTACTTATGAATAAAGTTTCTATGAGGGCACAGAAGTTTTTATATAAATAGTTTCTTCTTCACTTCACTTTTGTAAATACTTAGGACTGGGATTTCCAGATCATTGTTAGGTTAGAATATATTTAACTTTAAAAGAAGCTTCCTGGTATTACTATTGTACCACCCTACCAGAAAATGACCCTTTCTTTTTAAATTGTGGTCATTATAATAGGTGTATAGAGACAGTTTCATGTGTATATTTTTATTTCCTGACTAATGATTTTGAAAATTTTTGTTTCAATTGTTTATTGGCATGACACACATTTTTCATGTCTTAGCTGTTCTAGTATTTTGAATCATCTGGGCATCTCTTTTTAACTTTTTATTTGCATTTACTTTTTTATTGACAATAGATAAATTATAATATATTTACATTATGGTTTCCCCTCCCTCATCTCCTCCCAGATCCACCTCACTTCCCCATCCACCCAAATCTACACCATTTCTTTCTCTCTCTCATTAGGATACAAATAAGAATCTAAAAAATAATAATAAGATAAAATTAGATAAAATAAAAACAAACCAGGATAGGACAAAATAGACAAACAGAAGAAAAAGAGCAAAAGAAAAAGCTGAAGAAACACATATAGACACAGAGACACACATGTTCACACAGAGAGAGAAATCTCATTTGGCTGTCTCTTAGGTGTATAGCATTTCCCGATACTCATCATAGCTTTTCTTGAAGTTTCTTCAAATCACAGTTATTGACCAATGATGTCTGAAAACCACACAAAGCTTTTTAAAACATAGTTCTGTCGTAGACATGATGGATTGTAACCTTGCAGGGAACCCAGGTGTCTGCTGTGGGATGTCTTTGTATATGCTGTGAATATAGGTTGCTCTCATTGGTTGATAAATAAAGCTGTTTGGCCAATGTTGAGGCAGAATAAGGTTAGGTGGTACATTCAAATTGAAGATGGAGATGAAGAAGGGTGAAAGGAGGCAGAAGCTATGAGCCACTACCAGGAGAAGCAAGATGTGAGAGAACAGGTAATGCCATGAAGTCACGTGGCAAAACACAGATGAAAAGAAATGGATTGAATTAAGTTACAAGAGCTAGTTAATAATAAGCCTGAGCCATAGGCCATACAGTCTGTAATTAAGGTAAGCCTTTGTGTGTTTACTTGGGACTGAGCAGCTGTGAGACCAGGCAGGACACAGGAAAACTTCCAGCTACATTTGGCACGCAATAAACCCACAATCCTGGGATTAAGAGTCCCATGCTCTATTGACTGAGCTAGCTGGGTGTGGTCTTGGGGCTACCCTTAAGACCTGAAGGTGCACATACACCTGGGTCTGTTCTCTCTTGTGGACTTGGTTGGTGATGGTGGAGACTGACTCAGGCAACAGAAGCAGTGTCGGACAGATCACCAGCCTTCTAGGACCCTATGATGGATTTGCCTATCCTGTTTAGTGAGCTGTCCTCCCCAAAATAATTTCTAAATAAATAGTTCCTTTGTCAATAATTTCCTGCAATACGTGCCTACACTGAAAAACAAGTTTTCCAAATGGTTTGTGCTTATACTATTTTTTCAATTATTTTTTGAGAATTTCATACATGAATACTGATTTATATTATTTCTACCCCCCCCCACACACACACACAACTCCCTTTCAAACTCATGACCTCTTCTTTCACTATTGTTACAGCTTGCTGAGTCCATTTACTGTCCTCCATGTGGTTAGAACTGATGACTTGGGGTTGAATAACCTCTGGGGTTTCTCATCTTGGAGAAGAATGATTCTCCTCTCAGCAGACATTCGTTGCCTGTAGGTCTTCATCGAGGGGAGAGGAACTTACGAGACGTCCCTTGTTCACGCTGGCATGTTAACCGGTGTTACCATGGTGCAAGTCTTGTCTAGGTGACCAGGTTGTTGAGATGTCATGGGTGCATCTTCTCCATCAGATACAGAAATCACTCTCTCACAGCAGATGTCCTGGTGTTCTGGTTCCTGAAATCTC